TTTTTTATTGACTTGCTAAAGCTCTTTGAACAGTTCAAACTCAGTAGCTGAACATAAAACAATAGCTACGTTTTAGCCAAAAGTCAATTGTTTGTTGCAATTTATGTTTGGCAGAATGACTCTAAGAGCAGGACCATAGAGCCCTGGAGGACTGTGCAAGCAAGGCAGGGGGTGGCCCCCACAGGTAGCCGGAGACCGGACCTGGGAGGAGAATGTGGAGGAAGCTGTGGGGGGCTAACCAATACTGTTGTGCCAAGAAGGAGTGGCTGAATACCACTCCTATATATGCGTGAACTGCGTCACAAATAAAGTAGAAGTTGCTTATCACCCATATTGGGTTGGCCTGTCTGCTTCTCCTCTCCGCTTACATTTATGTTTGGCAGACTACATTTTGCTATATGAAAAATAATGTGCTCTATCCTGTTTGTACTTTCTAGGACCTTCTAACACTCAAATGTACACTGTATAAGTCCCAGACATGCATATCAAAATTCATGCATCCATTTTTGAAGTACTGAATAACTTCAGGAGAAGAGCTTACAATTTGTGCGCCTTTAACAGATATTTATAATATTAAAATAATACCTGTGAATAAAATTTTTCCATTAATTTAAATGAGAACGATGAGTTGAAGGGATAAATTAAATGTTTTTATAATTGACAAAATAAGTATAAACAAACATGACCATGATATAAAATCTGTTATGTTTCAATATAGGTCAAAGTAATAAAACCATAGAATGGTTTAGGTTGGAAAGGCCCTTAAAGATCATCGAGTTCAAGCCCCCTGACATGGGCAGGGACATTTCTCACTTGTTAGGGTTGCTCAAAGCCCCATCCAACTGGCCTTGAACACCTCCAGTGAGGAGGTATCCCCAACTTCTCTGAGCAACCTGTTCCAGTGTTTTGCCACTCCCACTGTAAAATATCTCTTTCTTACATCCAATGTAAATCTACCTTCTTTCAGTTTAAAACTGCCACCCCTTGTCTTGTCACTAGAGACCCTGGTAAAAAAGTCTCTCTCCATCTTTCTCATAAGCTCCCTTTTCATACTGAAAAATAAAGTCTCCCTGGAGCCTGCTATTCTCCAGGCTCTGCTGTCTTCAGAGGAGAAGTACTCCAGCCCTCAGATAATTTTTGTGGCCTTCCTCTGGACCTGCTACTAATAAAGGTAGTCCACTTTCTTCCAAAAAACCCCCACATTTTATTCTGATTCATTCACCATTACAACATCTTCTGTGCTTTATGCATAAATAATTTTTGAACTGTTTCAGCATTGTATTTAATTTAAGATTGTGTGAGTGCTTTCTAACTAGAATTATTACTTGGAAATTCTCCCAAGAGCAGCCTCTGCAACAGAAAGAGGACCAGAAAATACCTGTTCTTTAGAGATTTTAGTCCTATCTTATCAGAAAAATCTTTCAGTAAGTCCAGCAGTGGTGAAGCTGATCATTCTTCTTGCTCTAGGGCAAATCTCTGCATGAAAAGAGATATCGCTCCCAATCTGCTACACCACATTAATTAACTCGTTTCATGCCCTGAATGTTTTTGAAAAGTCCCTATAAAGGGGTCCATTTAGCCCTGCCTGAATGAATTACTGAATGTATACTTACAAATTTTGGTCAACTTCTCACTTAGAAAGCTCCGAGTGCTTTGCTATGTATCTTAGTTTTTAGTGAAAATATGTGAAAATATGCTACTAGTTTAGAAACCGTCCACTGAAGTAATGAAGAGATGTAAAACTGCTACGATAAGCATACTTATCCAACCAGAATAACTTATTTTATGTAAGCAGTCAAATCTTGCATCTTTAATGTTTAAGAGCTGAATTAAGGTTGGATTTTCTAGTATTTGTATAGCTGTACAAATCATGACAGCACTTTGTGCACTTGGTGCCTAACATTTAGAGCACGTTATCAGGGGACTGTGTCTAAGCTTATATATCCTGCCTGAATGTGTTTCATAGAGGTTGAGAGGGTCAGCTTCTGAATCTCTGAGGAACTTTGGAACAACAAAATTTCATGCAATGATAGGTCAGCATGGGAGTGGAGCTACTTCATGACTATCTACATCTGCCTATGCTCACCTAGGAGAGTACAGCAAGCAACATTGGGGGTGCAGAGTACCCCAGTGTTGTACTACCATTACTCCAAGATGATGTGTATCAACTGTGTATATGTGTATAACTGTGTTGCTGGATGCAATTTCTTGTTATAACAAGGGAAACATAGATTTTTGGCATAACTGTGTTTGACTCTCTCTCACAATGCATCTGTACTGCTCTGCAAGCTCAGTGCATTTGAAGTGCACTGTCACATGGCACCCATAAGTTCAGTGATATTCTCTCATACTGAGTTTTCCGATTGCTTTATATTTTTTGTTCTTAAGTAGGGAAAAGAAGCCAAAACACAACTGAGATTATGATTATTATTTGTGTCAGAAGTGATCCAAGACATGATCATGCTTTCTGATGTGCAAGACTGTATGGCACTCTGAGAAGAGGTGTCCTGGCAAAACTCATGAAACAGCACCCTAGTATGCCCCAAGGTTCAACTGTTTACGCACCTTGCTTCACCATCTGTGCCACATCGCTTTGTTGTGTTGCTGTGCTAGTTACCACCTTTGCTTCACCTGAGATAAACTGTGTAGAAATTGATGAAAGTCTTCCTACTTTGCTTCACAAGAATATGATGAGCTTTAACTAGATAAGCTTTAACTAGATAACTTTAAATTTTAACTAGATAAGCTTTAACTAGATAACCTTGCTTGCAAGGTGTTCTGTGGCTCAAGATGAAAAAGATCTTTTACAAATGCAAAACAGTAATATACCTTTATTCACTGAAACCTTCAGTTGTGACTGCCTGAAGTTACAGTAGCAGCTTGTATTTATATGATTTATATGTGGACATTTAAACAAGGCATTATGTTCAGTATTGCTGGACATTATTCTTTACTTAATAGAACACTGCAGCTGTGTACAGTCTTCACACTCTCAGCCTCAGAGACCTTTGTTGAAAGTCTGTGATGTGCTTGTAAGGTGCAAAATAGAGCTCACTGCCTAAGGGAAAGAGGGGTCTTGAGTGCTTTCTGGGTCTTCCCAGTTCAGAGGCTCTCAAAGGACTAAAGGCATCCTTAGACTTAGAAATGGGTCTTGGAAGTGGAGTTCTAAGTACATATGATGGAAAAACCTCCAGGAGTGAGGAACAAAAGTTCTACATCCTTTATGCTCTGTTAACTCTTGTTCCCAACATTAATGAGTTCAACTAGAGTTGAAGAACTCGTTCAACATTTCAGTCCCCAGAAGTTTACATTTCAACAAACATAAAATATGAACAAAGGAGACAAACAAAAAAGAACAGAGAAAGGAAGGATATGGCTTCAAACAAATGAAGCCAATATAAGTTAAAATACAACTAAAGAAAGAGAGGAAGAGTAAATCCTTTAAATAAGCAATATTAGCCACAAAGCCCCAAATGAATATGGGAAAAAAAAAAAAAGAACGAATGGGAATTATGTATAGACGCTCCCACCCTCCGCTGGAGATTGCAAACTACTGAATATGCTGAGGCTCTGCAGCCCCTCTTTTCTTAACTACAACTCCAACACTGACCAACACAGGGCACTTGAAATGCCCTGAGTGCACTAATAGGCATTAACGGTCCTGGGTAGCCTCACCTGGGACCCTTGTCCACCCACCCTCTGCCCACTGGGCCTTGGGGCTCCATTTAAGCTCAGACCTGAGCATTTAGTTTTTTTTCTGAGCTACACTGGATCTATTTGTCTGCTTCCCTGTCCCTTCCCCCCTCTCTGGACCTTGGATTTGCATTGCAGGTAGTTGGTTGTTAGCCTTATCTATTGGATGAACTCTTCTGATTCATGCTGTACTGGAGTGCCTCTATAGTCCCTGTTCTACCCATGGTGTCCATGTGCTGTTGGACTGTACCCTGGCCTTTGCTGGGGTTGCACTGGGCTCCTGGCATGGTCCCCTTTGCAGAGCAGCCCTGCTTGTGCTGCTCCCTCACAGCACTAAGGGTAGAAGGCCTGGCATGCTGAGACAGAAACATGAGGCAGGACAGTCCTAAATCTGTTTCTCTAGTGCTCCAAGAGAAAGTGTTCTCAAGGTCTAGAATTTCAGGGAGGAGGGGTGTTTTTCAGAATGATCTCTCTTGCTGTGGGCTGGCTGTCAGGACTTGCAGAAGATCCTGCTCTGGGAAAGAGTCAAAGAATAAGGAACACCCTCGTGTGGTTCAGGCTTTCAGCTTGAAAACAAGTAGTACATGTACCAGAGAGCTGTGCTGGCGGAGGGAGGGCTGGTGTCCATTTTATGAGAGATTTGGAAGCTTAATGCTTTTTAACTAGAACTCTTACAAAAAGCTAAATTTTCTTCAGAACGAAATTACCATTCCCTGCCTGACTTGACAGAGCACTCGGCAGACGAATGGCAAGGCTGGGAGCAGAATCTGCAGGATCTATGTGTTTGTCAGGTAGACTGGTGGCCTGAGGAATATGGATAGATTCATCAGTATCCTTCTGGAGCGAGCATGCATGTGAGCTGGTGGGAATCAGAAGGCAGGATTTGAAAATAGTTTAATCTGGCAGAATTTCATTAGCATTGAAACATCTGTGGAAAAAATGTCAATATTAATGGAAAGGCATATTGAGAATAAAAAAATGTTCAATCAAAATATCAGTGTTGCTGGTTTCCCCTCCAGTTGGATCTATTGGTAGCTCTCCTTGCATACCATACAGTAGTGTTTGATACGTTTCCATGTGGCTGCCTTTTTGGCTTGGGGTTTTTGGTTATTTAAATGTCTTTGCTCAGAACTCTTGATGTTTATATTCCGAAAACAATATTAAAATAACTTGTAGTCTTAATCACTTAAATAGAATTAAGACTGTTGGGGCCATTATAGTTCAATCCTCATGTCCATTATGAGATAGTCTTTAATTCCATGATCTCATTGTTTCCCCACAGGACCCTGCCTCATTTAGCGTGCAGGATGAACAGTGCTTGGAATGAATCAGCACAACACAGTGAAAGAGTCTGTTGTTTGTAAGCCTCATCTCAATTGTTGAGGAAGTTGGGATATGTGTTTTGAATGAGTTGAGATGTCAAGAAAAGAAAGGATGGTCTTGTAGCTGAGGAAATGTATATTGCCTTAGAGAATGAGTATCTGCCAAGAAAAAAATATTGTGAGGTCCTGTTCTGGGGGAGAAGAAGGAAAAACCTTTCCAAAGGCATCCATTAACTGTGAACACCCAATTTTCCTATAAATGAGGGCATGGGTCCACATTCCATACTACCAATATCAAACAAAACGTTGAATTCGGTGGGCACTGCTCATTTTTGCACATTGAGGAAAATGTGTGCAGTCACAATGAAGAGCTGTGTTGTAAGGCAGTTTTATAAATGCATCTTGTGCTTTCAATACTTCATATTCTGTGCTCTTGTATCTATTTGATGTATTAGTAACAAAGTTATCTCTATACACACATCTAACAGTTAACTGTTAAATAGAAAACTATAAAAAGTGACCAAGAGTAAGTCAGTCTTTGGTGTATATGGATATGAAATACTAGTGCAAGCTACCTTACTACTTAATTATAGGTTTCCTAATTTATGATGACAGTTTGTATTTATCTTTGATGCTCAGCTGTATATCCTACTGCAAACTGGCTGTGAAGGAGTTGTTGTCTTTGCAATCTTTTGAAATAATCTATTATTTTCAATTGTAAGGTATTCTTTTAAAATCAGGGCCCAAATGAAACTTGTGCATCAGCTCCCATGTATTCAAACTTGCACCTAGTCTGGTTCACATGTAACTCACTGTGGCTGTCCCTTCCATTTTAACACCTATTTTAAGGCATCAGTTTAGCCAGTGCAACAGTGATGTGGCAGGGACTATTTTTTCCTTATTCTAGAGAAAGTAGAAGTAATCCAGTTGGCCTCTGTTCCTGCATAACTATTATTTCATAAGGGCCTAATCAATAAAGAGTAAGATCCATAACGTACTTAGAAGTTGGACTGCAAATACCAATCTGCTCAGATTAATTATTGCTAAAATTTGAATATTTTTTCTCTAAATCTTAGTAAGGTAATACCAAAAAAACAATTTTTATTTTTATTTTTTAATCTCTGACACCTACAGATTCTATCACCTTCAGTAATACAAACAGGGTCTCTATGCCACAGCTCATAGGGGGTTCTCAACTTTCCGAGAGAGTACTGGTTTATAGTCCCCATGTTTTGAAGTACCTGAACTAAAAACCACTGAAGAAAGCAACCGGAGATTTACAAAATTTTACTCTCATTTTCTAAGTGGTTGATCACTTAGCAAATACTCCCATTTTCTCTTCAACTATTATATAATGAAATGTAATAAACGATGAACACATTAGTAGTCTAAAAATACTTCTTTGCATGTGAGCATTTATCCAATCTGTCCTTATACTGCATTTTAGCAGTTTGTTTTAAGGATCTAAACATCAAAAAGTTTTCTTTTCAGTGAAAGCTTGGATTTTGGATTTGGTGTTTCTTACAGCAAAGGGAAGGGTACAAAGGAGATTATTCTAACAGTTCTGCTGAATTGTATTTTTTAGAGCCATAAAATTTTATCTTGATTTTAAGTAGCTATTCATCATAGAAACTAGGTAAAATCATAAACCCATATCGGATGTTTTTACTTGAATTTTTATTCACAGTAATCAACCCTAGTCCAGGATAATAATGACTGAGCTTTATGAGAATATTCCACGGTTCAGAAGGGTCCGGATGTGGCTGTGATTGTGAGCATGGAAGTGTGTGTACTCAGCACGGATGGGAAGGGGAATATTGCTGTCACCGCAGTGCAAGCACCCTAAGCCACAGAGGAGTCAATCCAGCTGAGTTAAGTGAGGCTTCCAGCCAGGGGTGCTCTCACAGAAGCACTGTCGTGCTGTGTGGTACGTTGTAAGATGTAGCTTAAATCAGACTCCTCCAAAGCCAAGGATGTTGTGTTTAGAGAGTAGAAAATTACTTTGAGATAGCCAGAGTAGGCCAGTTAAGTCATAGAGCTTATTCTGTCAGGCTTATGCTTTAAGAAAAAGAAACTCTGAACCTTCCAATAATCTTGTGATTCTTGTGTTAGAATCAAACTACAGTCTGGTGGGGGGGGGAGGAAAGAGTGTAAGTGTAATTTAGGGCTTTGTCTATCTCATCTCCAGCTTCTCTTATTTAGTAAGAGTAATAATTACAGGTCATTTCAAATAGTCAGAGCTGTCTGTTTCCTTAAATCTTTCATTGGATAGACTCTGAGAAGTCTTACTTTGATTTTTCCTATTTCCTGTATCAACTATAGCAATCTGATGTAATTCAGGTGGAGGGCATTATTTCTAAATCTGTCACAACAATAGAACTATGTTCAAATAAATGAATGCAAAAATAATACTTAACCTTTTTGGCCTAGTGTTACCCAGAGATGTAAAAGCAGAGACTCTGACAGATCAAGTGACATCAGCTTTTCCTTAACACTAATATTAGTAGCAAGTCTGGGGATGATCAGATCTCTTTGTATGCAAAGGGCTATAAATACTCTCTTTGTTTATTCTGCAGCCCAAGGGCAAATCTATGATACAGACAAGATTCTGCAGCCACAGAGTTATAGAAAATGCAGCATTCTGCTGTGCCATTAATAGGAGCCTCTATGTACTTTTAAGATGACCTAAAAATAAGACAGTGTAGTGCCTCTGTTTTACAGACAAATTTATTAGCGACATGGTGAGAGAGGGTGAGAGAAGATAAAAAGTATATGTAAACAAATCATCAGAAGCAACATTTTCTAAAGAGTGTTATGCAAATATGCAGATAAAATTTGTACTTAAGTAAATGTTCAATGGGAAATCCACATCTAAATAAAAATGCTGTAACTTTAAAATGTTGGTTGTGAGCCAGCCAACACTGAGAAGTCTCTGTGACCAAGGTGCTTGTCACTTGTAGTGAAGGATAATTTTGGCGTAAATAGATTCTGAGACTACTATTGCAAAAAGCCCTCTCATCTGTTCCATTTTCACTTACAAACTTACAGCTGTCGGCTATGGGCAGTTTTAGTTGTAAGTAGCACTTGGCTTCATCAATAGATAATGCTATAGCATTGATGACAAACCTTGATTCCGACCTGTAATGCGAATGAAAGAGATTGAGCTATTGGGATCTCCTTGGGCCTTGGACTCCATCATAGTCTTAGACCAAGCAAACAGGTTGTATGTTTCCGTTTGGGATTTATTCCTTCATTATTCCTCCTGCATGGCTGTGTCAGAATCTCTCTCATAATTCTGATGTCTGTCTTTATCAGTTTGTAGCCATTTTCTTTTTTTCTTGTGTTGATGTTATTTTTGTTATGTAATTAATTTTTCTCACTACTTGTATAGGAAGCTAACATATCCCTTTACATGGTTTGAAGTGGTCTCTTAATAGCCTCCTGGAGGAGCTCTCCATTCCTTTGATCAAAAGAATGGTCAAGCTTATATTCAAATAGTATATGCACTTAAAGTTATAATACTGTCATCAATATCAATGTTGCTACCCTTTTTTTTTTTTTCGCTGGAAAGACCTTGCCTCATTGATGCTTGGATTGAATTTCTTTTTCATGCATATAGGAGGCTGATAATCGTTTTGTTTGACTATTTAATCCATATCTCTCATTGATCACACTTTATGCCTGAGATCCCAGAAGGAATTCTTGTTGTTACCCTTTATTTATGACCTTGTACTCTGTACAATTTATTTTTATCCAATTACTATGACTTTGGCTCCCAAGGTCATTCACTTCTAGTATGATAGTACAGTTCCCTTCTGCATGGATAATTCACCTCAGTAGTGTATTATCAACAGATCTCAGTGGCACACTTTTATTTTTCATGGCTAAGTTTATGAATGAAAGCATGGCACAGCATTTGCCCTACGGTGGCTCTTTGAGGACTCCACCTAGAAAATTATAAGGACTTATTCCGGTCCACTATTCCTCTATAGTCTGTGTAAAGAAAGGAGACCGACAGGTTTTTTAGCATCACTGAATTGTTGCTCCTTGCAACATTTGAGAAACGTTTGTGTTACATGAACCTTGTGTTTATACAGAAAACAACTGGAATGGAATAAAAAGGTATTAAAACTGCAAACAGGTGCACAGGAAAACAATGTAGGTTTTTCTGTGCATTTACTATAGGTGCCCCTACAGAATATAGCATTAAATCTCTTGGTCTGAAATGGGTGTTAAAAGACAAACTGACAGCAGAGAAATTATCTTTCATTTAGAGAATGACAAGTCTCTTTCTTCTTTCTTTGAGAAGAAAAAAATACAGTTCTTGCCAACAATATAAAGCAATGCTGACACCTACAGAGAATGTATGTAAATATCAACTTAGAATTTGCATTCTCCATGAGAATTTCTAGAATTATTTGGTAAAAGAACAAGCAATTTAAAGCAAGCTCTTATAACTGTTAACAAAAATTAAATCTTTATCTTCTGTTTGGGTCATTCCTTGGTAAATCAGTTAAATGTTGAACATAAAACACATGCTTGAAAAATTATATATTTACTTTCAGTAATGTACACTTCCGATTGCATTAAAATATTTTTTTCTACAAATTCATTCATACAGCTGTAGATGACTCAATAGCTATAAACCAAGCCATCACCATGATGTACATTACTGCACAGAACCAGGTTTACTGCCTCTGATGGGCTGTTTCTTCTCTCTCCCTTGCTGTGACACAACACGATAACAGTAGTATTACTGGGGTTTGCAACTTCTGTGTTCAGGCAAACAGGCCTATAAAAACTTCTGTGTAATAGATTGCCCATATGTGGAGCAAAGTTAATGAAAAATTAGCCTAGCATATTGAGGAGAGATTACATAGAGACATAGCTCTTTTCTTGAGTGTTTGCTCATCGATGTGCTATTATGGGTTATGCAATAACAATGCAGTATTAAACAATAATATGACACTGGTACAGGAAGGTGGACTCCTTGCCTTCTAAGCATATGATAAGTATTCT